CTTGGAGTGAACAAAGGAAAGCATGGATGTGAAAGAGATGGAGAAGATGCAGCCACAGAAGTAGGATAAAAACCAAGTGGGAGAGGTGGGCCACCATATGACTAAGAAAAGAAGGGAAAATACTAGTGTCAGAATACTTATGCTTAATTCTTAGCACTGCTGTTCTTAGCTGATTTTTCTGCTTAGTTTTTAGTGACTATACCCAAGAACGAGATACCATTAAACCGTACTGCAAAATTATCAGTAATCTAGAAATGCAGGCTATTTAGGATTACTTTTCAAAATCATCTATAAAACAAACAAAAATAAGGTATTTATTTTAGCTTGCAAATTTATTCACAATAGGATCAGAAATCAAAAGCCATACAATTGTTATAAACCCCCTTTTACCCATCACCAAAGGAGAGGGGAAGTAGAGAGGCAGCCCAAGTTTGCCAATAAAGGCTCTTCTTGGACCCCTTCTGCTAAGGACCAAGTTGAGAAGCTAAATATGTACATCTCTGACCCTAGAAACAGTAACCCTGAATTAAAATGGAAATGGTGTCATTGAAAACTGTGCCATGCTTCAACATAAAGGACACATAGCAAGATATGCAAAGAAAGATGATTTGTTATTTGATCTCAAGACACACAAAGAGTTTTTTCTGGAGAATTTTTTTTTTTTTTACCTGAAATGTTCAACTAATGGTTGGTCTACAAATGACCGTGGGCAGCGGAAGGCAATCACCCCTCGAGACAGCAACCGAACAATCACATCTGGGTGCAGACTTTTGCCTGTGAGGTCTAAGGTCTGCCATAGAGACTCATCAGTCCTGGAAAAGAGGAGATGCATCATTCGGTAAAGTTGACCCCACGGAATCCTGGAGGCCCTAAACACTAGTACTAACAGGGAACACATAGCCACTAAATACCCGGGAAGTAAATTCTAAAGGGACCTTTGCTTTTGACTTGGTTCTATAATTAGTGATATTTTTAAGGCACAGTTGAATACTTCTTGGTCATAGCAAGGATAGGCTTACACCTTTCTCTATCTATGTATGTATTTCCAATTTAGATGGCTCACTGCTACCATTAGCAATATTATGATCTGAATGAAATTCCTGCATTCAATTCCACTTGATAAAAATACGAAATAATTGACAAATTGCTTATTATTAATAAGTAGGTAGGTTCTGGTGGCATAGTGCCTAAGGCATTTGACTGCTAACCAGAAGGCTGGTGGTTCAAACTCACCAGCCACTCCCTGGAAGGAAGGTTGGGCAATCTACTTCTGATACCTCCTCGGAAACCCAAGGAAGGGTCGCTATCAGTCAGATCTGACTCTATGGCAGTGAGTTTGGTTTGGTTTTTTGGTATTGTTAGGTTCAAAACAATTTAAATGATCATGCTTGCCATTTTTTTTTTGTCATTGTTAAGAATGAGCAGGTTACCACAAAGACCATAAGTAACATGTAAACATAAGGAAAATTAGTACTATTTTATGATAAGTTATGGCTGTCACAGACATCTACTAGGAAAAAATAGTCATGGTTTAGCTGTTTTCAATATCTCACATTACACATGAGAACAGTACCTGTTAACCTTAAAAATTATATATGTTTATAATATATAAGAAGGGAGCTCTGGTAGCATAGTAGCTAAGGAACTTAACTGCTAACTAGAAGGCTGGTGGTTCAAACCCACCGGTCACTCCTCGGAAGAAAGGTTGGGCAATCTACTTCCGTAGTGATACTATCTCGGAAACCCAAGGAGGGGTCGTTATGAGTTGGGTCTGACTCGATGGCACATAACAACAACAACAACAAATATAAGAAGGAATATATAAGGTATATGTGAAATATACATATGTATAAGGAGCCCTAGTGATATGGTGGTTAAATGCTTGTCTGTTAACCAAAAGGTTCCTGTGGTGGTTATGTTTGTGTGTCAACTTGGCTGGGCCTGGTTAAGTGGATGAGCAGCTGGTGGTAGTTATTCCCCATGATGAGACTGGCAATCAACTCCATGGTGGGATCTACCACAAGCAGCTGAGTAGCTGTC